CCAACCTCCCAGGTGCCAGCAGCGCTCATGCCCTGTTCTATGGACCTGGCAACTGGAGAAGCCTTGAGGCTACACGGTGCCTATGTGGTATACACTTGGCTGGAATCCCTCCAGAACTGCACAGTGTTAGACCCTCTATGCTCTTGTTAAGAGACTCCCAGCTTGTAGCCTGCCAGGACCTTCCTCTGCCCTGGATTCCCCCCCGGCCCAGCTCAGCACTGCATGATTGGAGGTGCTGGCTCTGAGCTGGGCCGCAGCTGCATGATTTCCTCAGGCACCAGCTGGGCTGGCTGCTCCTAGCATGGCAGGGGCTGTCAATGACATTCAGATTCCAAATGGACACAAGGAGATGCTTGTTAATTCCATGCATATTTAGCCCCAGGAATTCACTGCCATAAGCCCTTCCAGAGACTGAGAGTGCATTCAGCTTCAAAAAGAGACTAGAGTTTTACAGAGAACAATAACACCAATACCTGCTTCAAAGGGAAGAGCAAAGTTTCTAGTTTCTTTTTACCTGGAGAAAAATGTGTATTGTGTTATACGTGATGATGCACTGCACCATCTGCACCCCCACCCCTCTATTCAAAATCCTGGATCCACCCCTGACATCCACTGCCTCAGACATTTTTTAGTTCTCATGCAGCTCAGCCCCTTCATTTATGAACACTTGCATTTCTCAGGCTACTGTTTCCCCCCATTTATCAGTTGCCAATTCTCTCCTTACATCTCCTCATGATGTGACATTATGAATGGATGTTCCACCTCCAGTGCCTTTCCTTTCCCCTGGAGCCTTGACCAGCACACAGTATTTGTGTGTACTTACCTCATTTTTATTCATTTCCAGTTCAGGTGGGTATTTTAAGTCTGAAGGGCTGGATGGATAAGAAGAAATTAAGCACTTACGTGCTTCATTAGGCACCAACAGTTTTCTCAAACTACCCACTCTGCTGCTGCCCTACCCTCTGGGCACCTAAAAACCCCTAGGGCCCTAATTTCTGCCATTGGCACTTAACCACTTAAGTCCTGAGACTTGAAAAGATGAACTCTGGTAGGATTCTGTTTAATGCCCCTCATGCCCCGCTTGCCTGTTGGACCTGATCTAGCAGGCAGGGTCAGAATACAGCTAACCTCCCAAACCCACAAAGCTCAGGGAAGGGGAAGGGCCCCTTCCTTTTACTCACTAGGATAGTGTAGTTAGAGCACCCATTTAGGATACGAAGACTCAGACTCAAATCCCTCCTTTGGGGCAGAGCAGTGAATTGACCCTGGATCTATTGTAGACATGTTCCAATCACACGGGTTTCTGGGGGTAGGAGGCTGTTCTCTCAATCTCCTTCTGAAGCTGTTTCACTTTGCAAGCAAACTGGAAACTTATGGGTGCAGGGGCTGGAATTCCAGGTGAGTGCCCTAACCAGCCAGGAAGAAAGTCATTTTCCCTTTCTTAGGCTCCATGAATATTTAAATATTCAATGTAAAGTGGAAAATTCAGCAGAAAAGATGGAGAGCTCTGCCTTAGACTGCACTATAGCCAAATGCTTCGAAATAGTCTTTTGGAAGGTGGGAAACCTGTGTCAAGTCTCTGAGCTAAATTAGGTCAAAGGATCTGAACCTAACTATCCCCCTTCCCAGTTGAGTGCAATGAGCACTGGGCTGTTAAAACATATGTGGATGCACAGTTCTGTGGGGATAAAGGACTGAGCTGGCTTGGGCAACAAACTCCAGAGAAGAGTTCATCTCTATGAATCTCACATGGGGGCAGTGCCTAGCTCCTCCTGAGAGGCAGGGATCCCTTTATGCACTGCCCACTCAGTATCTTCAGTGCACATTTGGGTTACACAAGGAAATTCCTCCAAATTTGCATCTGAAATCTAATCCCTTCATGGTTACCTCTTTAATGGAAACAGATATAAATAGTTCATGGTCAATGATTCCAAGCCTCTCAAGCTCTCGAGCAGTGGGAAATGGATGCTAGGCAGCATCCCCCTTGACTTTTAACTTCATGTTCTGGCTTGTGCAGTTGTTTTCTGTGTACCAGAGCAAAGCATGTGGTATTACAGGCTCAGGTAAAATCTCCCAAGCAGATAGAGGCTTGCTGCAGGTGCCTGGAGGGCTGACAAAGGGATTCTTCTTTTACAACCTGTGGCAAGTGACCCTGCTCATTTCTTCTTTGCTTTTTCTTCCTTGTATATTGACTTAGTGGAATTCCCTACTGGGTTCTCTAGTGGTTGGCAATACCGCTCTGGCATTCTGAAGAGCTCTGTTTGCCCTGGAATGGCACCTCCTGTTCTTTTCTCTCTCTCCCCTGCATACATCACACCCTCCCTATGGACCTTCACCCTTACCCCCCAGACCCTTCCCCCCTCAGCTTTCTGGTACATCTGCTAATCCTTATTGCCCTTGTATTTCCTACCTAGAGCACACTCTGCCTAATGAGCTCTGCCTGCTTACATCCAAGAAATTGAGCAGTTCAGCCTGCAGTAGGAATCAGTGGTGGCAGAAAGTGAGCCCCTGGGATGGTGGCAGAGATCACCATCCCAGTGTCTAATACAGACTCCTTGCACTGCAGCCAGCCTCCCAATAATCCATGGATACCAGGCCCAGCCATCAGTAACAATCACCCCACAGGGTGGGTCTCCAAGGTCCAGATTATTTCTGTACTCGGACTTTGCATGACAGAGCTCTCATCTGCATCACTTCCCTCGGGAGGTGCCTTGTGCAGGCAACTGTCAGATGTCCTGCTTTAATCTAAGGCCATGACCAGCATTATCCACCTTGGGTATTGTAGCAGTTCCCCTACAGACACACTTGAATGTCTCCAGCAAAGGTGCACAGCACTCCTGAAAAGTCAGGCACTCTGAATTAGGCACCCAAACATGGATTTAAGTACCCCCCCATTTGGTGATACTGGCCTCACCCTGGGATGTATCTTCAGTGTATTCAAGTGCACTTTGCTGTTCTTAGTGTGCAAGGGCTGAGGATGATACTGAGCTTGAATGGCCATTATAGCTTGTGCTCTTCAATATATTCATTAACAACTTGGATGAGGGGGTGGAAAGCTCAATTATTAAGTTTGCAGATGATACCAGGCTGTGGGAAAATGCAGGCACAAGGATAGGGTCATCCAGGATGACCTTAACAGACTGGACTCATGGGCAAAGTAGAATCAGATGAGGTTTAATAAATGCAAAATCCTTCATCTGGGTAGGAAGAACCCTCCTCACAACTACACAATGAGTGGTGGCCCACTGGCTGGCACAGCATCTGAACAAGGCCCGGTGGGTTACGATCAACCAGAAGATGAGTATGAGCCAGCAGTGTGATGAGGTCACCAGGAAAGCAAAAAGAACTCTGGTATGCATCAGGCGGGGTGTGTCCAGTAGATCCAGGGAAGTGCTCCTCCCTCTGTATTCGGCACTCGTGAGGCCTCAGTTGGAGTACTGAGTCCAGTTCTGGGCACTGCACTTCAAGAAGGACATAGATAAGCTCAAGAGGGTACAAAGAAGAGCCACCCACATCGTCAGGGGAGGATAAGCCCTACACAGGAGACTCTGAGAATTGCGCCTGCTCAGTTGGATGAAGAGAAGGCTGAGAGGTGACTTGATAGCTGCCTACAAATTCATTGCGGTGAACACCAAGATTTAGGTGAGCAACTCTTCAGGAAGACAGCCCAAGGGAGGGTGAGGACCAATGGGCATAAGTTTATAGAAGGTAATTCAGGCTGGATATAAGGAAGAACTTCTCTGTAAAGGTCTCTGTAAAGCATCTGGAACACACTCCCAGCAGTCACCATCCTTGGAGGTGTTCAAGAGGAGGCCTAGACAGGCACCTTGTTGAGCTTGTCTGAGCCCAATAACTTTCTGTCCATGGCAAGGGACTGGACTTGATGATCTTACAGGTCTCTTCTGGTCCTACAGTTCTATGATTCTATAGCCAGCAGGCTGATCACAGAGACTTTTGTGGTGTGCAAGGGCAGTGGGGAGGTACTGCAGGGTCTTTCCCTCTCAAAAGTAGAGCTACATTGCTGTGACTGGCATTTAAGCCTCTGATGAAGTGAACTTAGGTTCACAAAAGCTTGTGCTTTTAAGTTTTATATATAAGCTTAAAATATATAATTGCTTTCAAGCTTTTTATATAAAAATCTATTTAATCTCGTTTAATCTAACATGGATAACTACCTCCTTCCATTTAAGCTGCAGGGATTGCTGACTCCTCACTCACTTCTGTAGGCTTCAGATTAGAGTCGCATCCTACAGCTGCAGTAGATTCAGTTTTAGGTACATCCTAGGGAACCAGGGCCTGAAAGTTCACAACTAGACTTGACACCTATAGAAGCTGGAGAAGGAAAAGTGTCTACTGGGGATACTGTAAAGCACCCCTCTCCTCTAGGAACCTGGGCAATGACCTGCTGTCAGGGCAACAGGCCTTGAGCACAGGCAACAATAGGGGCAAACTGTGCCTCAGAAGCCCCTGCGATCCCAGCTGCTGGTAACTGCACGGTTGTAATTTACTGTACCACTCTTTAGACAAGCACCTTGGTTTTTCAGTCCAACTTGGTGCTACTGCTGCCTTCTAAGATGACAGCTTGACACACTGTGTAGACCCTTAAGGCACCTGAGGGTTCTCTCCTGCCACGTCTTTGCTGGAATTAATAGTTAAAGGGGAGGAAGATCTTACTCCTACGTCCCTCAGTGCCTTGCTGTCTTCTATGTAGTATCTTCACCCCTGTTGCTCTGCCTCCCCTACACCCTGCCTAATGCCAACCAGATGGTGTTAAGGTCTAGCCAAATCAGACTTAGGGTCTCGGTCCACGACCAGACAAAACTACAAATCGTCCATTTGTTTATACACAGACATCGGGTTCATACACAGTCTTTTCCTTATCCCAAGGTTCTGTTGTCCATTCCGCTCCCTCCTAGGCAATGTTGAGGTAGGGTTGCACCTTAGACTTGGTGCTTCCATCCATATACTCACAAATTCACTTTGCTTCTTTTCCTTTTCAGGTTCACCATCACTCCAGCTCCAGTCTGCAATGTCAGGGATCCACGCCTGCTGCAACAGTGAGTATTTCGGCTCCTCTGAGACCATTATGGTGAGAAGCCTCTCAGCATCTGGCTTCTGCCAATTGCCCCTGCTAGGGCAAGTGACCTCACTGTGTTGCTCACGTTCCCTCAGGGACCATTTTTCCAGTCCTCCCTGGGTGTTGCTCCAGGTTGCTTTTGAACCAGTGGACACAGGCCGGGTGCCAAATCACTGCCAACACACATTTACAAAGCATGCCCAGACTGGCACTGGAAGTCCGCCCTGGTCTGCTGCCATGCTCAGCATCAGCTGTTCCACTCGTCAGTCCCGTGCCGCAGGTAAGTTACCTCTCATGGTAGTGTCCCTGGCACAGTGGTCTTGGAGTAGTTTTGTATTTATGGGATGATGACAGAAATCAGCCCTTGAGAAGAGCATGGCCAGGGAAGAGGGGGCAGTGGACCAATTCTTGTCGCTGGCTTTACATTTTCACAATCTAAATGAAGTAGGAACTTTGCAATAACTCTAAGCAGGAGATGGGCAGGTTTGGCTGGAAAAATAAGATAAAAACCAGAAGCAGGCAGAGGCCCAAACAGCAGCACCAGAAAGAAAAACAAACAGCAGGAAATTAGAGGCAGGGGGGTTAACCACAGCAAATGCAGAGCAGGGGGAGGAGGAAGCAAGTGACAAACCTGCCAGGGTGGATTTCCAGCTGCACAAGACAATGTTGGAGCCACCGCTCCCCCCTCATCTCCCTTCCCACTTCCCATCAATTGTTTGTTGATCCCCTTGGTCACGGCTTCTCTTCTTATTCAATTACAAGCTCTTTGGGGCAGGAACCGTCATATTCTGTGTGCTCAGACTTGTATAAATGCAGTGGGGTCCCACGGTCTCAGCACAGTGCCAGTGAAGAACAACAGTGAAGAAGGTCTCCTCTGCATAAGTAATCCCTCTGCTAGGAGTGCACTTATGAGGCATTGCCACTCCCCCTGAGAATGGCACCTATGGGTGCCACTCATGGGAGATACAAGCAGTGCCCAGAAGTACCGTAGGAGGGTTGGGGCAGACGGGTGAAGCTGACAGCATGTGGGAAACATTCGTTTATGTTTGGTGACTGGCTCAGGCTGCATAGATTTGAATGTTTGGTCTGTAGCACAAAGTGGGCTGGACCTAGGAAAGTGGAAGACAGCCGACTAGGGGTCACCACTGCTGAGTTGTTCTAGCAGGGTGGGACAATGGGGGCCAAGATGTTATTTCTTAGTGACCAAATAGCCTCCAAACGGATAGAGAATAGAAACCCCTTAGCAGGGGACCACCTCTGGGCTGATTTCTCTGCGCCAGAGACTCAAACCATCTCAAACGGAAGATTTCTGAGGAGAGGAGGCAGGTGGGAGCTGGCTTCCCTCGTGGATGCTGACCAAAACTGAGCGGACTCTCAGGGCTGATGAGGCCGGAGGGAAGAATCACATTTAACTCTTGTTTTTCCATAGTTCTGTAACTGTTGTCCTCTTTTCTCTTAGAAAGCACATGCAACCAAGCAACTGACAGGCAGTCCTCGGATTTACAACAGAATTGGTTCCTAAAAAACGCATCTTAAGTCAAAACGTTGCAACTCAGAACCAATTTTCCCATAGGAAACAATCTTATAAATGGGGGCTTGGT